CGTGTTGAAATGAATTGTTTCTTCTTGCCTGCAATAGAATGCTCGTTACTGTAATTGCAGAATCTAAAAATAACTGCGGCTTTTTACGGTTTGCACAGTTTTATGTGCTGAAAGTCATAAATTAGCTTAAGTGCCTTCGAGGTGTCCAGAATGGTTTGTGATCATTTGGCTACCACCTGGGTTCCTCAGACACATATCTGTATAGTGTCATCTATTCACCCAAACTTGGAAAACCTGTTTCATATACCTTGTATTTACGTAATACCTCGTAATAATAGGCCTCATGATATTTTCAATAAAAGAAGCTGTCATGCTCAATGATAACGTTAAGTCGTTACTTGACAGGAATTATAAAAATATCTACGAAGAAGAAGATGTATGTTTAATTCTATTACTTGCCAATAAAGTGAGTTTTCAAGTAATACTGGTTTTTGTCCCACTTTTTCATACATAGAACAATATACAGTAAATACAGGATAAGTGTTTGAAGGCTCCTTGGCACTAAACATTAAAGATTGAATAAACTAATGGCTATATGCGACTGAAACGTGTATTATTGGCTTCAGAATTCCAAACTCTATCAATATGTTAAAGCTCATTAAAAACTCAGCGTTACACCTGGAGACCAGTCCTTGTCAGTTCCGAGGCGCCTTCGAATATTCACCGAAGATTTACTCTAATCGTTAATAAAATAACCAGGTGTTATACATTATTCTTGATACACGTAAACAATGAAAATTTCGAGTCATCGTCCTTGATGCGGTAATAAAAAGGCATGTAATGCTGAGACAATGTCGTCGCGGTAAAATGCGATTCTAAAAAATTGAAGAGAGATAGAATCGTGACAAGTGATACAGCGACGGTCGTTGCCCGAGCTTTGCTAAAATTACAATTTCGCGACGTTCGCCATCGCCCTCCTGCCCTTCTATGTTAATAAAATATTGAGCGATTGCTGAATAATGTAATTGAAATACGACGCAGACCGGCGGTTCTGTTTAATCGGCTCATGTAAATAAATCGGTACGGTTCCTAGTGATAACTACTGTGCCGCACACGATTCGAAAATTACCCGCGATTGTATAATTTTGGTCGCGGCTGTTAACGATTCGGGTTCCATCGGATACGTTCGCTCTTATTGGCGTATCCTTGAAATTGATTTAAATGAACGGGAGGAATATTGGGGGAGAATTATTGAAAATTAATTGCTAGAAATAGTAAAGAAAGAACATTGTCAGAACTTATTTTTCTAATAGCTTAGATGGGTCATTATGAAACATCCAGAGATAACGTATAGATTAATTGCGTTAATATTGTAGAAAGAAATGTACAGCTTCAGTTGCTTGTGAGATGTCGAAATAGCATGAACATGGTAATCTTTAGGAAATAAATAAATAATCGGTTGTTCTCTAATAGTTAACTTGATTTTAACACTGCACGATATGTAATATGAGTCAGGAGTAACATTGAATACAACCAATCAGCCACGGATGGAATGTCTTACCATTGTTGACCTAATCTACTGCCCCAGTTTGAACTAACCCTGACTTTCCTTAAGGGATACGAACGTTTTCAATTACGCTGTTATTGGAAGACATGGAAGGTTAAATGCTGTGAGAGTTTCAAGTACACATTTTCTTAAATAATCGTCGTTCCTTGTAAAAGAATGTACGAACGTTGTTTCTTGCATTTTTTTTCTTTCACTCATATTCAACTGACGTCAGAATCAACCTATTTTATTTTTCGAAGGATATATCTATCGTATCTTTCCATTCAATCTAATGTAACATCGTTCTAATCTCGCCACGATCGGTCGTAAACGTACAAATAGTCGAAGAAGTTACGTGATTGCGTGCAACCGACGTTGATATTATCGAGATAAAAAGGCATATTTCATGATAACCGCGTTGTTTGCGCGAAACCGAAACCAAAACACCAATTGTGAGAATCGTGATGTGAAATGCTCAAATTATTATCCAATTTTCGTGGAATCCAAATCCAATAAGCCAATGCGACAGGGGGACCATCAACGAGATTCTCTCGTCAAGAACGACCCATGGAAAAAAAAAAACACGCAATAAACAATAACATCTTCATCTGTACAAATAAATTCGAAGAGAGTTGTTGGCTGCTGCTTGAACAAGAAATTGAAATGTCAACGAGAGAATCACTGCGTCGTCCACCGTGAATAATTATAGCGAACACATCATTAGCAGAGAAGCGTAATACTGTGAATGATAACGAGCAAACGAAGATTAATCGCAAAAAAGTCATTGAGCAAGCTTGAAACTGGTTTCATTCGTTTTCCAATTACAGACCCGTGGCATCCTTGAAGCGAAAAGACGTTAATATGAACGGCTAATAAAGTGGAATAATATTGTTCCACGAAATTCAAGAGTTAACCGGGCCCGTTTCATGGTTACGAAACCGCGCGAAACATCGCGCTACGATGTCGGTAGTGGATAGTGACTTGCACATGCGTCGTAAAACTTCGACTGATTGTAAAAGGTGGGGGGAAAGGGGGGAGAGATTTCATAACAACTTCAATTGACTTCCTCCAAGCGACGGGAGTCGAGAGTGTCTACTGGTTATGTAAACGCTTCAAGTTCGCGTGAGCGTGCCGTCCAGGCGTACCGATACAGCCGACACGCGGTGGTCAACGTTAATCACTGGCGTGTCGATGATTAACGTTCGTGAAATGACGCGACCGTTCTTTGATGCGACCGAGTCAATTATCCGCGTGATTGCTAGAATTTGTCGCTGTGGTCCGGCCACGCCTCGTTCCACAGAAACATCCCGAGCCATAATAACGCCACGCTAAACTATAACAGTTTCCTGCTACAAAATATGTCTGTAATGTGACAATGAAACATGAATTTTAAAAGAAAAAACTAGTCACGAGACATGTTTCAAATATCTTACGACTTGTTTTGATTCAACGTTCATTCGGATGGATGAAGAATTAATTGTAGACATGGAAGAAATTAGTGAGCATTGACCATTTCGATGCTTATGTCGAGTATACTCGTCACGAAAAGATGGCATTTTTTTGGTCAATGACGAGTATACTCGTTTTCAAAAAAAAATTGACATTTGTTATTTAAAAGTAATTTAGGTAAAACGGAAAGCATATTCGTAATTTTAACACATTTTGGGACAAAAAATATGAAAATATTACCTCTCGAATGTTTGATAAGGCAGGCGACTTTGTTTTGTCGACTACAGTAAAGCCTCGATGATTGTTTGAAGGCACCGCGACACTGAACATTAAATATTTCATAAACTAATGGCCATACGCGGCTGAAACAAATATCATTAACTGCAAAATTCCAAGCACTATGATTGTGCTAAACCTAAGTAAAAAGTCAGTGTTACACTTGAGGACCTTACCTTGTTAATGCTGAGGAGCCTTAGAACACTCGTCGAGGATTTACTGTATACCCGTCATAGCTTAAAAATAATTAATCCCACAAGTGCACTCTTGTAAAAGCAATAGAACATTTAAAGGGTCAAGTACTAGATTTTTCTTATTATTAAAAATTAGACTCTCTATCGAATCCAAAACTAGTGTGCTAATGTTTCTGAATACACCGTGCACCGTCAATCGACTCCCCCGAATACTGATCAGACCGATTCAGGGAAACAATACGGTGCAACCGCGAACGATCGGTTATTCCGATGACATACACGTGCATCGGGCCGCGTACAAGTGGCTTGCAGCGGGCGTTGCATTGAAATTCACCGCGTGGAATTCCCAATGTCACTTCATAACACTCGTTTCACAACAAACCGAGATGCAAATCGTGGGCGAAACCGTCAGATGTGATCGCCAACGCGAGACGTGGGTCGCTGGCATAAATTACGAGAAAACAAAGAATCCAGAGTAGCTGAGGACTATCGTAGAATAAACGACGTTCCCATGACACGTGTCTACTTCCAGATAAGCAGCGCGCATTATCAAAATTATCATCGTCGGTCCGTGTACAATCGAAACCTAAGGTTTGTTTTAACGACGGATTACAGTAAATTCTCGATGACTGTTCGGAGGCTCCTCGACATTGACCAGAAAAGGTGCCCAAATGTAACGTTGGCTTTTTAATGAGGTCAATCATAGTGATAGAGCTTGGAATTCTAAAGCCAATAATATTTGTTTCAGCCGTATATGACAATTAATTTATGAAATTTTTAATGTTCAGCGTCGTGGAGCCGTCGAACACTCACCTAGAAATTACTGTATGTCCTATTACGACGGTTCAAGAGAATCGAAACGTGGCAATGCTACCATCTTTCTCTTCTGGCATCGAAAACCAGCTAATTCGTCTGTACACTGCTCGAGTTTACGACTCGAGCCACGGGAGACTTCAGGCGGAAGTTCGTCGGTCCAAGGCAAACTTCGAGAACTCTTAATACTGACAAATAGCAGCACGCTTCGAAAGAAGTTTCTTGGATTCTGTGTTATTTCCACCAAGATTCCATTCCATTGTATCGAATAAAATTATATCGACTGGTGTTATCGGTTTGATCAGCATCCGTGGGAAAAATGATAAGCTCGCGGAACTTTGTAAGGTCTCGTTTACTGTCTTGCTATCGGTCTGCTTCGATTTGCTTGTGTTACACTCGGCCACATGCGGACTCTCTTGGATGATGATTCATTGGCGGAAATGAGAGGGACCGGGACAATTTTCAAAGTGATCCCCCCACTTCCCTGTGAGGTGACAGAGGGATCTGAGAGAGTATAGGGGGCCATAAATGGTACACGAAAAATTGACAAGCAAATAGGGAAGATTGGGACCCAATCTGTGGACAGAAGGTGAAGAGTGGGGGGGAAGCGAGTGGAATTGAAACGAAAAGAGAAATAATCAGTGGTTCTTGCATTTTTGTTGATTGTTATCCGCGAGTGTTAACGACGGATGACGTACTCGGTTCCCGGGGCTCTTTGTTAGCGTATAAATAATGCCCGACCGTCCGTATAAAACCGTGACAATTCGATTCCGTCGGGCTCACTCCGTATCAGACATCCACGGAGGTAGACCGAAGTGTTCCATTTGGTGTACCAATTCGCAACTAGGATTTTTTCAGGTCAGTCGCGAGAGGATCATGTGTTTAATCGAGTGTATATCACAAGTGAACAAGTCGAACCTTGTACAGAACAACGGAGTGGGGGTAATTGCTGTTGATTCGAAAGAATCGATCGAAATTTTGCGGAGGATCGTGAATCTAGAAACGTGGAGATCCAGATTCAATCGTCTATTTATAGAGTTATTTGGCCCGGATTCTTGCCCATAATCAGCTGTATCGCGTACCGAATGCCCACCCGCGATAAGCGGAGCGTTTAATGACCTCGATCGACTTTCCAAGCATCCACAGTGACTTCATTTTCGAGCTAGGCGATCGGAACAGTTCGTACGGTTCCTCGTGGACGTGTCTATCTTCAGTGATCGCTGGAACAGTGTACAGTTTGGATCTGTGAATATCGTACAAGTGACAATCCCGGAAGTTTCATTATATTTAATTATACTGCTGTCATATCAACCTTATCCAGTCCGTTTGGAGTTCTTCGTCGTGTTATCAATGGACCAAAACGATTCTGTATCAATTTTGAACAGTAATAATCGAGAATTAGACGACTCTGTGACAAGTCTAAGACAGTGAAGTCCGGTTATTTGGGACACATCGGGACTAGCGTTTTTTGACCCGATTGAGTGGAGTTCACTGTACTATGCAAGTCAATTATAAAATCGAATTGGATGCATATATACAATGGGGTATGCTACACTAAACGAATGTTATCACTAGACTGTGGATTCTTATGCAAAATAACATTTTCTAAAATAATTTATGAAGACAGGGGAAAATGTAGGAATTTATTTTTCCTCTAAGTATCTTATTGAATTCAGACTAAAATGGGAAGCTCATTGAATCCGATGAAAATTTTGTCTTTTATTGTATTTCACAGAGTCCTATGGGCAATAAATACATCCAATCCGCAGTCTAGTTATAAAAAACGCAGGCAGACTTATTTTGCTATAGTTTGTGACATTACGTACAATATTTCAGCATAAATGCTATATGGAACAAGTTTTTAGAACAAATCAGTACGTTGTAGCAAACCCCACTGTACTCACGTAATCACGCATAATAATATTCAATGACTTTTCTTAGCAGTCCTTACATTTCTCAAACTTGAATCATTGATTCCACGGTTACGATTGAAGTCTCGTAGAAAAAATCATCCTGAACGAGTTAAAGCAAGGCGACGATGACTTGCTCCTACGTATTACGTTGCGGTTAAGAATCATATTTTTCCATTCTTATCTCCCGTTATGCCAGACGCAAAACCATACAAGATTACTGAACAATCTTTCAGAAAATATAAATAAAAATATCTCGACGAGTAGGAGGTTCCGTATGCCCCTGTGATGCGTCGAGTATTTGCGAAAGTTTCCTTGCCTTTCGAGATTTCATCTAACGATAAAGTAGGACACTTTGTTCCTGTTACGTGATCAGTTCCAAGGGAACTGGTTCGACATTTCCTAAAAATATTGCAATTCGACGGGATTCACGACGGTGAAATTACAAGAAAAAGTGGGTTCCCGTGAGCTGAGGACCACGAAAAAGGGATATTCCCGTTCAATTAGGTTCTCTAATTGAAACAGTGGTAAACGCGAGAAACATTTCCCGTGAATATCGAGGCTAGAGTCACGATCTTAACGAGATAGAAAATGAAGAAGAACGAAACACGCGGCTTGAAGGGGATGAAAAGCGTCGATGATTAATTTAACGAGATAGAAAATGAAGAAGAACGAAACACGCGGCTTGAAGGGGATGAAAAGCGTCGATGGCGGACAGGGGATGAAAAGGAAAGGGGAGGGGGAACCGTGATAAATCTCACCGTGAACAATAAGTTACCGTAAAGAATCGTTTCCGCGTTTCCTGACGTGCCCGGGAAGAACAATGATTTGTCGAGGAAATTCTCCAATTCCAATTCCAATTTCAGAAATGGCCCTAGAGACACCGTCCTGGCTGGATCCCTTCTTCACCGAGAGGATACTGCGTCTGGCGGAGGACGACAATACCTTGAAGGTGATCGATATATTTGTGAAACCGGCGACCGCCAAGGGTGACAACTACACCAGCGACATGATGAGGGTGGTCGTCGAGTTCACGCGGACGGTGGGCGACAAAAAGGTCAATGACAAGAAACCGCTAATCTTCAAGTTCGAGCCGATCGCCGAGGGGCGGCGCAGAGATTTGGTGAGTCTTATGGTCAGATGTGCTTCTCGAATTTTTAATAAAATGCTGTGCAATTTAGAACGCAGACTACATACAGTAAATCCTCGATGAGTGTTCGAAGGCTCTTGCATATTGACAAAGAGATTGTGTAATAGAGCATGGAATTATGAATGATATTAGTTTATGAAATATTTAATGTTCAGAGCCGAGGAGCCTTCGAACACTCATCGAGGATTTACTTGTACAGGGTGTTGAAAAAAAAGGGTTCATAACTTATATGGTCGATACGATATTAGACGCCAAATGTACCCTGGGTCCGTCCCCAAAAATGGTTCGAATCTCCTGAGATCTGTTCGCGATTAGTGTCGCACTTTAAAATGGATATTCATTTTAATATTATCTACGCCCCTTCAGATTTATTCAGGTGGATATTTGTGTGATCTATTTCCAGATCGAGAAGACACAAATATTCGACACGGAGATCGCCATGATGTCGGACGCACTTAAGAAGATGACTAACTTGATAGGAACACGACTCGGCGCCCAAGTCTACCACATACGGATGGAACGACCACTGTGTTTAATAATGGAGGACCTGGCGCCTCTTGGATTTCGCATGGCTGATCGTCAAATCGGTCTTGACCTACCACATTGTCGGCTGGTCATGCAGGGACTGGCCAGATTTCACGCAGCCTCGGTAGCTCTGTGCGAAAAGGTGATGATCATTGAAAAGCTCTTTGATCGATCGAAAGGATTCGATAAATACATCGTCCTTGTTACCTTTATATCTCGAACGAACGTATCGAAATTTTAATTCCTTCAAATGTTTCAAGAAAGATCTCTGATACAAATATATGTCGATCAATTTCATACCATATTAGACACCAGAATGTTTTGTTTCGGTTATTCGCCTAATTCTTACAAACAAAGCTGCTCCAGCTCAAAGATTCTAGTTACACCAAGTCCGTAGAACCTCCCAGGCTTCAGAGTTGATCGGCTTAATCTTCGAGTTAAGCCAAGATAATCCGAAAATTCTAAACCCTCCTCGACCCAGGAGTTGTTCGATGGAATCTTCGACTTAGGCCAAGATAGTCCGGGGCAAAGTTCCGCGTCCGAAGTTTCCCCCAGGTGGTTAATTCGAATTTTTTTTCGGTTACCCTGTAGGCTGTCTGGTATCGAGTAAAGCTACTTCCAATAATGGCCACATTGATTTGCAAATGATTACAGGAACCGAAACACAAAGCAATATACAGGAGGGGCATATTTAACGATGACGAACCATCAGATTTAATTGTCTTCTTTAAGAACGGGTGCATAACGTTGGCAAATGAGGTTCAATCGTGGTCAGAACTTGGTAAAAAGTAAGTACACCTAATGATATATACATAATAGCCACGCTACTTTCGTGTATGAGTTTCATGTGCATTTCTAAATGTACAGATACGCGGATAAAATCAGGGGGCTTGCCGACAAATTACACCCCATGTGCGTAAAGTTGTTGAAGCGAAGGGATGATGAATTCAACGTGATCAATCACGGTGATTGTTGGGTGAACAACATGATGTTCCGATACGATGAAAACTCGAAACCTATTGAGCACGTTTTCGTAAGTATTCGTTCATGGATCATCATCGATTCTCCAATTAGGAAGTCCCGTGTGAATCGTTTAGCTGAACAATTTCAAGCTTTAAATATCACTGTCAACGAATAATTTATCAAAATTACTGAATATCATCTCACCGTGGTCACAAGCAAATCGTCGCTACATAAAACCGGTGTCGTCCATTTTTGTCACATAAACAGTGTCATGGAATCTTAAAATAGACAGAGCCTTCGGACACTAATCGAGGATTTATTGTACAATGAAAACCTTCAAACCGTCAGTCCACACGAACACTGCAGTCAATTCGTTAAATTATTCAACGTTTCGGTAACAATTACAGTCGAGTATTAATAGATCTTATCATCAACGCCTGGTAGTCCAGCTATTACTTCGATCCCCGGGGCAGATCGTTCAGTCTACGCGTGACAGAGAGAAAAAAGAAAACGTCCCGCGTGAAGAAGGAGCATTTCGACGGCGTTCGGAACGTCTCGTGGTGGTATGAATAATGCAATAAATCCGATTCGATCGCGTTTAGGTACATTCCCCACCTGTCAGTCCATCGTTGTAAAGAGCGGGAAACGACGAATCACGGGGTAGAGGCGAGCAAATCCTTCACACACCGACAACTTCCTAAACACGAGTCCCGTTTTCTTTCACCTCCTGCGCGCACGTGGAGATTTCATTTCCAATTCAATTCGTGCACGATCGATCGAGGTTCGATTTGTGGTTCCAGGTGGACTTTCAACTCTGCGTCTACAATTCGCCTGTGCTCGACCTGATATACTTCATCACGACCAGTATGTTCTCGATCGAAGACGATATCGATATGGAACGTTTGCTACTCGAGTACGTGGAATTGTTGACGCACCACATGGCACAGTTAAACTGTAAGACAGCACCTCCAACATTGGACGAGATCAAACAGTGCAAGAAGAATCGCGAGTTTCTCGGTCTGATATACGCGATGACAGCGTTACCGATCATGTTGGTGGACAAGAGCGAGGCGAAGGATATCGACGAGATGATTCCAAAGGACGGTGAAGCCGCGAATCATACCTACAAAAATTCCCTGTACAAACAGGTAATGATCAAGAGATTACCAAAGTACGACGAGATGGGCTTGTTAGATATTTAGACACACTGCGTGTGTCCGACGATCTACGGTAAATCATCGATGAGTGTTCGAATTTATTAATACTGGAAAGAATTCTTTTTTATTCTTCGGCTATATTTAATTAAAATATATTTGTAAATATTAACGACAATCAATTGGTAGAATATAGTTTTCTGTTGGAGAACTTCCTAGTGAATATTTAATTATAGTTTCGAAATGATGCTTGAATGAAAGAAAAATTCAACGTACACATACGTGTCAGTATTCAGCAGAAATTCTGAAGCAAATGACGATTGTTTCAGCAACATATGGAAATTAGTTTCTCAAATATTTCATGTCCAGTGCCGAGGAGCCTTCGAGCATTCATCGATGATTTACTGTATAGAGATCTCTCCGCGGGATGGAGAACGACTCGAGTGTTCATAGGCTGTGGAATAGTATACGTCCGAATCATTATGGTTTCTTCGATACGCCAACGAGTGATTCGACTGGTAATAATTGTTCGACTGAAGAATAATTGTTGTATTATGAAGTGGAATTGTGTTGAATACTCGTCGAAGAATAATGAATTGGCTCGTTGGTAGGTTTAATAGTAATTGGTGCCGAAATTAACAACTGTTCGCTAGGGTAACTTGAGATTGAACTGATAATAAGCGGCACCAATTGTATTAGAATATTAATTCCAAACTGAAGGAAAAAGAAGAAACGATCAAGTACACAGTGAAATTTTTATGTGAATATGTCGATTCAATGATGAATTCTATGCGATGGAAACGATTTATGTATACCTGCGCTTCGACGAATCCAGCAGCAAGACAGTACAAACCGACACGTTATTTTTTTTTTTTTTAGAAGAATTACACGCGACCGCGATATATTATCGCGCGTGTTGGAAGTTATAATTAATTTTTTGTTTGAAATATAATTTATGCGTAATAGAAACACGTCCGTTGTTTTACACAGGTGTAACTTTAAAGCCATCACCTATTTATGTATTGTTTCCCCAATCATGCCGATTCAGCGTCTACTAACTCGTTTTCTAAACACATAATTTGTTTCCCTACAACGAAGTTTTGGCTTCGCTAACGCACGTGGTGTTAACAAGGTATTTCGTTAGATGTATGTAGATTAATAACGTTCCCGGAGAAAATTTTTAATTCACGTAGCAACCGTCGCGTCGGTCAAATTTTATCATTGCACGGGGATAACGAGTTCCCTGCTTTGACCTCGTTCGCTCCGTATTACCATAAAGATTGACCGACGATCGCATCAATCACACGTTGGAAGCACGCAAAAATTGTTTCAAGTTTAATGCCAAAAACAAGGTAACAAAGACAAGGAAACCACGTTCTATTTAATATTCATTCGACACCTGACCCAATCACACCAATGGTAGGTTGTTGAATATAATATACTATCTTCGATTCAACTTCAGAGGTATGTAACATTTTCAACAAAAAAATACATTAATGCATAATTCGCGTCGAATCAGTTAGAAGATACAATCACGAGTACAATCAAACCTCTATAATCTGGGCTCCTTAATGGGCAACGTGTTTTAATTGAACGTGTCCAAGATAGATTTTTCAGAAGAACTAGCTTTTTTATAAGTGACCCTATGTATCTTATCAATCACAAGTATCAGCCGTACTTAAGCAGACTGAATCAGTGCACTTTTGAAAACAGAAGAAAATCGATAGATCTTCTGTACTTGTTTAAGATTGTTAACGGCCGCATTGCTTGCCCAGGAATACCAGAAAGCATTAAATTTCAATTAGCTGCACGTAATCTCAGAACTCATCCTTTGTTCCACGTTCAATATCACAGAACCAATTACGGTAAGTTAAAACCATTAAGCCGCTTATATACAGTGGCCAATACTTTCGATGAAATTTTCCATTTTTTTGACCTATCATTAAATACATTTCAATATAAATTACCACCTACATAGTCTCAAATAATTATTATATTTTTGCCATTGCTATTGTGTTCATTTTGTTTCATCTTTTATTCACGTGTCCTTGTATAAATTCATGCTATATTTGTACCAAAGGGTTCTTCCCAATAAAATATATATTATTATTATTCTTATTAAGAATCCCAAGACGTCTACTTAACCCATTTGCATTGTTATCGTACATATACACGCATTATACTGTACCAACCAATTAGTCTAGACTGCCCAATTAATGAAATATCAAGATTTTATACTTGCTGAGACATTTCCAATTAAATTAAATAAAAACAAATTTCGCGTTAAGGATCAATTTGCATCATTTTTTTCAAACAAAACAAATAGGTTAATTGGACTATGGACCCATGATTGTATCTTCCAACTTATTCGATACAAATTATGCATCACTATGTTTTCCCATGTTATTGCAAACAAAGTTCAGAAAATCGTACACACCTCCGCAGCTGAATCGTAGATAAAATTTCAGTCGTTCCCGGTGATCCGTGAAATTTCGCATTTCTATGCAAGAAGGCCATCCTTCTTTGAATACACAGAACGAAAGTCCTGTCGTTCGCGTCGATATAATTCAACGCCATGAATTATTAAGCGGGTTATTGTTTTAACGCGGTGGAAAATTCGACTCGCGGAGACGCGCGGTACATTTCGTATGCGACGACCTAATATTTCTCCTCTGATTTAATTCGCCGGCGAGTTTAATCAACCCAACCCACGCGGGGCGGCGATATTTTTTTTTTTCTCCTCCCCCGGAATTATTCATGTTGTCATTGAAACAGTCATTGGTCCGCGGCCACCCGTAAATCTTCGCCAGCGGGAAAATTTAAGAGCCGGCCGTACTTTCGCGACACGCGAAACGAAACGTGGCCCAGCGTCGGTGGTTTTGAATAAATGTTCACGTCACGTTTCCTCGTGCCAGCCGCGTGACCGTTTCAGGTGGATGAGGGGGGGGGGGGGGGGGGATGAAAACAAAGGAAGGCGCGCGATGAAATTGCTGTTGAACATGCGTTGCACAGCGAGTATCTATTTTATGGATTAATCGCGGGCACCTCCGCAGCTCGTGCATGCTGAACAACGATGGCAAATCCACGGACGACACGGACGATGGGGAGGACGAATGAGAAAAATTATACCCTGCACTTTCTCGCGGCAAACTGGAAACGATTTTTTTTTTCACGGGATTAAATCGATCGCGGGAAGTAGGTACTCCCCTAAATAACATTTATCTGGAATGAAAAAGACAGTAACAGTATTAATACAAAGTACAGTAAATCATCGATTATTGATCGAAGACTTCTTGGCACTTACAAGGAGAGGTCGTCAGGGGAAACACTATTCTAGGTAAATCGATTCCATGGGGAATCTCTCCATTTTTCCCAAAATACATACAAATTCTAAAGCTTTAAACCAGACGATAAGGATCCGTGATTAAATAGAGATGTCCAAGGAACTGGTAATCAAGTTCTTGAGCAAGCACGATGACGTTGAATATTAATGATAATACAGTGTGTGGTGAAAAATGTCAATGGAAAGAGAGAAATCTATCACAGAGACACCTGTCTTGATGTATACATATATGCACCATGAAATTAACAAGCAATTAAACTCGTTCGAGTGGACCGGAATGACACGGGTACACGAACAGCTACTGGAATCAAACGTCGATGAATTTTATACATTGATTTTATTCGTAGACACACGGACGCACGACACTTATCCCCCGGTCCCAGTAACGAGCTTGATTCAAAGGATCATTCGAACGAATCACGGTCGATTGCAGAGCGCAGGGATATCGCTTATCTCGAATCAACGTGGATCAGAATTTCTCGAATTATTTAACGAGCTATGCACGAACGACTGTGACAAGCCCTGAATTAAAGCAATCACTCCCGTTGCTAGGGCGGTCGCATAACAAAGCGGTGAATGTTGATTCTGATACTAATGGTGATTCGGAACCGCATGGGACAAGCTCATATTTTCAATAAATATCTCGTGAACAATAGTCCAAGATTAAAGGAAAATTCTAATAGCTTAAACAAATCCCACTTTTCATTAATTTGTTCGAAAGGCTTTTCAGTGAATTCCAAAATCACCAGAGTTCGATGTATCTTCCATAATCGTAACCAGTTTAATAAAATAACAAATCAGCTCATGAAATACCAGGTTCATTCCGTTGTCAGTATCCACGGGGCGATAATTTGTATGGGATATCAATTATGAGACCAGCGAGGATCCATCGGAATAGATCGTCCGTGGATCGAAGTCTGTGCGTGCACAGGAATCACAATGGCGTCGCGTGAAATTATGTAGACTCTGGACGCCACGGGTATCACGGAGGACGCGATTAACTCTGAAAGCTAATTAATATCTTCGTAGCCTCGGGTACACGCATTTCGCCTTTCAATTAAACCGAACCGGTGTTTGTACATGCGCATATTTACACGTGCGATCGACACGCGTTCGTGTGGGGACACGCGCGCGCACGTGTACGTGACGCGAAACAAACGATCAAATTAATCACCGTGATTCCTGTCTCCGATAGACTGAAATAAACCCCCCCATTAATTCGATCCAGCGTGTCCGGCGCCTTAATAACACTCCTTTCTTACGAATTTCATCTAATCGATCATCTACCCCAGTGTTACATTTATCATTCTTCATTTCATAGAAAAATGTATGTGGACTTGATTTTACCTCGTTCTAACATCTATTATACAGATGACATTGTAACGACGATGATTGGACAACACAATTCGCTTCTTTATACAAGGTGAACCACAGGTCACCTTCAATTTTTTACAAATACACCTATCATTTTTTTACGCCTATCTGTTAAAGGATTTCAAGACGAATTCGGTAAGTATCATAACAAACATGTGTTAGGCGTACAAAAATTGTAGGTGTATTTGCAAAAAATTGAGGGTGATCTTGAAAAATCATGATAAAAAAGAGTTCACAAAAAATTTGTTATATTCATACCTATATCATATCTATACCTGATAAAAGTATTTTCGATCGGACTGCTAATAACAGAGTAATCTCTACTGATCACGATTCGTGGTTCACTCTGTATACAAGGTGTGATATAAT